TTATAATAAATTATTTTTAAAAATGCTCTTGTTTTGCATGTGCAGCAAGAATGTCGATTGTGTAATGTTGTTCTGTTGAATTGAATTTAAAAGTTATGTAGCGCGTGCATCCATACTATATTAGTATTGTTGTTGTTTCCACCCAACGGCATTATACAATAAATGCTCTATACTAGTCTATAACAATTATAATATTTTGAAAAAGGTATTCTGATGTCATTGCCTGCATTGTTTTCAACAAGGACATTTTTAATCTTTGAATCTATTATTGTGAGTAATCAATGAATGTTTGAATTTATCATCTGGTAGTGTGGAAAGAATGGGAGTCTCTTGACTGCAAGGTACTGTTAGTATTTTAATTCGGTGACTCAGGGCTATACTGTACATTAATTTGCCCAAACAATTAGTCACAGAAGAGAATGAAGGATATACATCCAGACATCGATTAAATAATATCAGACGCATAAGTGGAGCTCATACTTCAAAATGGGGCAGAAATGCAGACTTTACATTATCTAGCACATTCGAAATTTAAAAAATAATATCATTCGACTGAAAGTAAAAGATGTTTTTTTTTTTTTAAAGTTTTTGATAAACTGCGTTATCATCGTTGGAAGATCTATGTACCAAGTTTCAGCTCAACAGTTTGACGAAAATTGGGTCAATTATCCGTCTGAAGAATTATTTTACAAGCAAGCCTGCCAGGAAGAAGCCACGAACCAAAAGAGAAGTTAATATTAAGGAAGTTAATTAATGATAACAAAAAACCAAACAAAGTTTACTCATCATTTCTCACAGCATCCCTATCAACAATGATATTGTTCTCAATTTTCATTCGAATTAATTAGCGAAAAAGTCTCTCTCAGCTGTTTATTTGTCGTCCATCCAATTGATGCTGTCTTTGGGTTTGTTCCCCCCTCCCCACCAACTGTTTAACGTTTCCAAATGAAGGCCTTGTACTCACTTTCATTTTTTTCCGGCACCTCGTCGAAGCGCGCGTCGCAATCAACGTCCTTCTGGTCAGCCGGAAAACTGGCGCAGTCCTGGGGAGGAGGTCAATAATCAGGTCAGTTCATGGCACTAGTTGGTCAGACAGGAATGTCAACTGAAAACTTTGATCTTAACACGTAGAGGAAATAATCTTAAATAGGGAGTAGGACCTGCACTTTAGAGACCGACCGAAAGACATTTTCTGAATTCTGACGAAGCCGAAAATAGGCCGAAAGTTTAACAATGACTTTCGGCCGAAACCGAAAAAAGGCCAAAAGTTAAAAATGACTTTCGGCCGAAACCAAAACCGAAGCCGAAACCGAAAATGAAATATTTAGATATTTTGAAATTCTTTCCCTCATACATTCTGCAAACATCGAAAATGATGGGGGAAAGTATAAACATTTACATGCTCTTTATAAAAAAAATGACATAATCGTGAATATTAATAAATAAACATCTGATATAACATCTTGTTTTTAAAGATCGTTTAGTTTGTTCTTCAAGATCGCTTAGTTTGTTGTTAAAGATCGTTCAATTTTTTGTTAATGATCGCTTTATTTGTTCTTAAAGATCGGTTAGTTTGTTCATAAAGATCGCTTAGTTTGTTGTTAAAAATAATTTATTTGTTTTTTAAGATTGCTTAGTTTGTTCTTAAGGATCTCTTAGTTTTTGTTTAAAGATCTTTTAGTTTGCTAATAAAGATCATTTAGTTTTTTCAAAAAAGATCGCTAAGTTTTTTCTTAAAGGTCGATTAGTTTGTGTTATTTAAAGATCATTCACTTTGTTCTTAAAGATCATTTAGTTTGTTTTTATAGATATTTAGTTTGTTATTAAAAATCGTTTAGTTTGTTCTTAAAGATCGCTTATTTTGTTGTTGAAGATCACTTGGTTTTTTCTCATAAATCATTTAGTTTACTATTAAAGATCATTTGTTTGTTCTTAAAAATCACTTAGTTTTTTTCTTCAAGTTCGTTCAGTTTTTTCTTATTAAAGATCGCTTAGATCAGCGGCTCTCAACCTGGGGGTCGTGACCCCTTTGGGGGTCGCGTGACCCTTTTCCAGGGGTGACCTAAGACCATCTGAAAACACTTACCCTTACAGCTATGAAGTAGCAACGAAATTAATTGTGTGGCTGGGGTGTCGCCACGACACGAGAAACTGTATTAAAGGGTCGCGTCACTAGAAAGGTTGAGAACCACTGGCTTAGATTGTTCTTTAAGATCGCTTAATTTGTTTTAAAGATCGTTTATTTTGTTCTTAAATGTCGCGTAGTTTGTTGTTAAATATCGTTTAGTTTGTTCTCAAAAATCGCTTAATTTGTTCTTAAAGATGGCTTTATTTGTTTTTAAAAATCACTTTATTTGTTTTTGACGATCGTTTAGTTTGTTCTTAAAGATCGTTTAGTTTGTTCTTAAAGATCGTTTAGTTTGTTCTTAAAGATCGTTTAGTTTGTTCTTTAATGTCGCTTAGTTTGTCGTTAAATATCGCTTTCGCTGAGTATTAGAAAACCGAAAACCTCAGTACCTTTCGGCCGAAACCGAATAAAAAACGAAAGTTAACTTTTCTTTTTCGGCCGAAACCGAAATTAAGCCGAAAATTAACTTTCAGTTTCGGCCGAAAGTAATGAAATGGCCACTTTCGGTGCGAAACCGAAGCCGAAATTCGGTCGGTCTCTACTGCACTTAAGTTGCGTGTTACTAGGGGAGTAGAACCTGCACTTAAATAACGTTTTAATATGGGAATAGGATCTCCATTTAAAAAGTGTCTTTTTGGGGAGTAGGACCTGCACTTAAATAACGTTTTATTAGTGGAGTAGGACCTGCACTTAAATAGCTTCTTAATAGGGTAGTAATACCTGCACTCAAATAACGTATTTGTATGGAGTAGGACCTGTACTTAAGTAGCTTCTTAATAGGGGAGTAGGATCTGCACTGAAATAGCTTGTAAATAGGGGAGCAAGTCCTGCACTTAATAACGTCTTAATGGAGGAGTAGGACCCGCAATTAAATAACATCTTGTTGGGAAGTAGGACCTGTACTTAAATAGCTTCTCAATAGGGAGTAGGACCTGCACTTACATAGCTTCTTAATAGGGAAGTAGGACCTGCACTTAAATAGATCTTAATGGGCAAAGCGCTTGCACTTAAATAGCTTTTTAATAAGGGAATGGGGCCTGCACTAAAATTATAATAGTACGGATTTTAATAAGATCTTAAAGGTAAATATCACTTCTTTAATAATGTAATCTTTGGTAAACACGTTTGGTGCATATTGCATTGGTATTCATCATATTTCAATTTTTTTTTTAAATATTTGTAATCACATTTTCGTCATTCGCACGCGAAGATGACAAAGCCAGCTTTTAAATTTGAGTATCAGCCTTGACTAGAGATGTATTTTGTTTAAATGAAGGGAGAGTTGCTCAATTTGCAATTCTCATTCTCTCTTCCTGGCCTATTTCATCTAATAGCATGACATTGTTAAGCGACTGGAAATAGATCAGGATGCAGTGGGTGATCAGCAGTGTGTGTGTATGTGTGTGTATTTCACTTTACCCCTTTAGCATTCTACCGCGTATGATTTGTCAGAATTTTACCATGTCAATGTCATACCACAAAAGGGACCCCGTTTCTGTGTTTGATTTCAGAGTTTGCCCTCTCTTAGACGGTTATCGAGTCCCATCCACGCAGAGTGTTGGTGATGTGTTGTTGTTTTTTTTTTCTTTTGCTGTGGATTGAACTCTTGTAAACTCGCTTGAGATTGACTCAGATTAAAACATTCTTCCACCCCCCCCCCTTTTTTTTTTTTTGATGTTTTTTTGTTTTTTTTTTCTTTTGCTGTTGATTGAACTCTTGTAAACTCGCTTGAGATTGACTCAGATTAAAACATTCTTCCACCCCCCCCCCTTTTTTTTTTCACCAAATTGTCATCATAACTCATCGCCCACCACCATTCTGCATAATTATTCTCACGTATTTCATAACATGGAGGCACACAGTATATTATTAGAGTTGCCGTACCAAAGACCAGGCAGTGACCTTCACACCCGTTACGTCGCCCAGGAGCAGCGTTTCACAAAGTGGTGGCCCGTGACACTCCACCGGACCGCACAAATTGTCCCCCAGACGAGCTGCTTCTTCAAGGTAATATTTTTAAGCAGGTTTCCTGTAGAGGAATCACCATGTGCTGCTGACACCTTTGTTCGTACACCCACCAAGTTCAGGAAAAATACGTGCGTCCAGATATTATTGTACACTTTATTTTACTGATGCTAGCGCTCTGTTAAGGGGAAATGGACTGCTATCTTATATGGTCCATATATATTTATATATATTTTTTTAAAGTGTTTACACTGTTGCAGTTCCTCGTTTCATCTTCTTTGACCTTTCAACTCCCAGAGAGCATTGGTCATTATCTATTCCTTTTCCCAAAATTCCTCTCGCTTGCTTTCTTCTCCAACTCTTTCTAATCTTTATTTGATCTTTGTCGATCTCTCTTCCCAGTGCATTTTTTTGGGTCTCCTTTGTTCTCTGGATCGTTGAGGCTTCCGTACCAGTACTGGTCTTGTTCTTATTTGCCACGGGTTTTCCCATCGCCTCATCCCTTTCAAGTACCTATCTTGACGTATTCGAAGGGATAATGGCAAGAGGGCCTGACTTGCAGGTTCGCGACCTACATACTACATGCTAGTCTGCATGTTTTTTTTTTTTCTGCATTGGACTAGCGATCCATCAGAGTCAAACAAAACACCGCTACAATGTCATCGAGACATGTAACTCCAGTCTTAAGTTGTGGTAAACTCCAGTCTCCAGTTATGGTAAGCAGTAATAAACACAGAACGAACAAAAATACAAAGAGCAGAGTGGCTTACCTGCAGCGCTGCCGGGTGCATGTACATAATCTCGTGGCCCAGGCCGTAAATGTAACAACCGAATCGAGCGTTTTTCAGTGAGGTGAGAACCTGGACCCCATCACCCACAGACACGTGATCAACTTTATATTCAGATCCTCCGGCCACCTGCTTCCAATCAAATATGCTGTTAAAAATAATTGACGTACGTCAGCATTAAATGAAAAGTTAAAACTAATGCAAAATTGTATTTCTTTAAATGTTAAAATGATTATTGCTTCACTGAAAAGGATTTTTGGTGTTTTTTTTTTTTCACGGTTTGAATTATTTTTAAATCAGCATTATATTTCAGTTCGACACTCTTAATTCATAATCATATGTTTAAAAGTGATATTTTCTATACGAATCTAGTTAAACCACCCCTAAAAGCAAAAACAGAAATTATAAATCCTTTTTATGCACTTTTAGTTATTTTATTTTATTCTAATATTCAAATGACCAACCCACTTTTACACCGCAGATTTATTTCACCAACTATTTCAGAGAAAAAAAAAAAATATTACGCACTAAACGCTCTTGGGATATTTTTTCAAGCACCTCATCTACCGCAGGTATCAAGAATTTCATTTCATTAAATTAGCGGCTTAATATTTTCTTCATCTTCCCCTTCAAAAAAGGTAAAATATATTTTTGGGGTTTTTGACAAAACCTGCTCGTCATCGTCAACGAGTCTATGTGCTAAGTTTTAGCTGGATTGGTTGACGAGATGTGGGTCATTTAGCTTTCAGAAGATTTTACCCCTAAATTCAAAAAAGCGAAGTTAATATAAAGGATTTAAAAAAAGATACATTGAGCGTTTAGTGTAAAGTTTAGAAACAGATCTAAGCGCTTGTCCTTTCGAGGAAATCCGGAAATGAGCAAATTATGGATGTGCACTTTTTGGGAAAATACGCTAGTTTTGTTTATTCATACAATTTTTATTCACATTTTTTCTTACTTAATGCTTTGCTGTGTGTTCAAATGGTCATCTTTAAAATATTTTTTTAGCTTCACTCTTTTTATTCTTTTTCATTATGGATTTTTTTAATAGATCACGGTTGTTGCCGGAAAAAGACGAAAGATAAACCCAACTGTTTACTATTTAGTGATTTATGATTTTTCTGTCAAGCCAAGTGATTACATAAATTTATGACACTTTTAAAATTTTGTTACTTTTACCCTTTATAGAGTTTCCGGTCATTCAAGCGAAGGTCAGGGATTTGTTCAGACTTGACGACAAGAGCGGCAAAACTCCCGTAGAGGTCGAGTGTATCTGGCGTCCTGAACAAGTCAAAAGTATGTATATTCATTAGGGTCTCTGATATGTTCTGTCGAGGTCACGTCGAAAATATGGGTGTTAGAGTCAAACGAAATTTGAGGAAGTATAAACACTAGTGTTCTTTAGTTATACTTTCATCATCATCATCATATCCCTTAGTCCTTGGACCTTTGGGGCGTCAAAGATGACATGTGGACCATCCTCCTCCATTCGTCTCTGTCTTCTGCACTACGCTCAGCACTAAGCTCAGCATCGCCCAGTGTTAGTCCTGTCCACGCTTTGATGTTATCCTCCCATCTTTTTCTTTGTCTTCCTCTTCGTCTCCCTCATCTTGTGGTGCCTTGCAATATTTTTTTTGACAAGCCCTTGTTTCCTTGTTACGTGGCCGTACCATTGTAGTTTGCGTTTTTTTCACAGTCATCAGTAGGTCATCGTACTCTCAAATTGCCTGACGAACCCTTTCTTTTACTGTATCATTGGAGATATGTACCCTATAGCAGATGCCCCAAATGCTTCTGAAGCATCTCATCTCTATCGTCTTTATTTTCCTTTCAAGATCGGCTGTTAATGTCCAGGACTCGCAGGCATACAGGAAAATGGAGATGACTAATGAGCGTATCAGCCTGATTTTGATGCTTGGGGCTATATTTTTGTCATTCCATATTTTCTTGAGCCTCTTGTGCTGTTGTGGTCTGCGCAATCCTGGACATCAGTTCGGGCTTGGAGCCTTCTTCTGAGACTATTGCTTCTAGGTATTTGAAGCGGGCGACAGTCTCTAGTCTTTCCTCCCCGACCTTAATTTCAGTGGTGATGCCTGTGGTGTTATTTGTCATAAGTTTTGTCTTTTCGGCACTGATTAACATGCCGTAGGACGACGAGATCTTATCGAGACGCTTTACCAGATTGGCTAGCTCTTCTTCGTTCCCAGCCAGTCCGTCTATATCGTCTGCAAAGCGTAGGTTGGTGATTGTTCTGCCACCAATGCTGACTGTTCCTTCATGCGCTTCCAAAACATCTGACATAATTCTCTCTAGGAAGATGTTGAACAGGGTGGGGGAGAGCAGGCGGCCTTGTCGTACTCCAACCGTGGTCTTGAACCACTCTCCGATGTTGTTGTTGAGGAAGACTGCACTTGTGGCCTTATCATAGAGGTTGCATATCATTCTGGTTATTTTAGTGTTGATGTTATAGTGCCTCGTGGTGGCCCATAAAGCAGCATGCCAAACCCTGTCAAATGCTTTCTTGAAGTCCAAAAAGACAAGTTATAGGATTTGTTGGTGTTGAGCATATTTCTCACATAGTATTCGGAGGTTTAGAATCTGCTCAGTAGTGCCCCGTCCTTGTCTGAAGCCCGCCTGTTCTTCATTTTCAATTCTATCGGTATGTGGTCTTAGTCGGTTCAATATGACCTTCATCATGACCTTGCATGGATGTCTTATTAGGCTAATTGTTCGATAGTTTTGGCATAGCTATAGGTTACCATTTTGGGGAGGGTGACGATGTGCGACTGGGTCCATGGTTTTGGCCATTCTCCTGTAAGCCAGATTTTGTTACAAATAGGGCACTTATCATTGCTTCTCCTCCTGGTTTCACCAACTCTACAGGGATATTATCCACTCCTGCGGCCTTTCCTGTTTGGAGTGCCTGGACTGCTGCTTCTACTTCTGCGTGGAGAATAGGGTAGTTATCATTGTCTGTTGCTGGAAGGAACTTAAAGGATCTCTGGTTCTATCTTTACATTTTCAATTAAAAGCTCTGAGCAGTATTCATTCCATCGTTTTATGATATCATTTTCTTCGGTCAAACATTTACCATTTTTATCCTGTATGGTAGTGCTATGGCCTTGTGTTGCAGTGGTTATATCTTTCAACAACTGGTAAGCTTTATTGCTATTGTTTTTGTTCAAGCAGTTTTCAATTTTGTAGCATTGCTCTTCAATCCAGTTCTTCTTTGCCCTTTTCATACCTTTTTTGATGGCTTGGTTAACTGTCCTATATTTAATGCCCCCTCTGTACCTACCATTTTTGTTTTCTTTAACTGACTCCGTTTATCACACACATCAAGTATGTAAGCTGTCACCCATGGTTTTCGGGTTGGTCGATGTTTACCGAGGATGTCGTGAGCTGTGTCCGTCACAGCTGCGTTGAAGTAATCAATTAATGTGTCCATGTCTGAACAATCGGCATCTATGATGTTAAGCGCTGCAAATTTTCCTCCAATTATTGCGTGGAAGGCATCTGCTACTTTGGGATCCTTCAGCTTTTCAAGGTCGAATTTGATCCCGGTATTCTCTTTTTTGTTTACCCTCTTTAAGTGCAGTCTAAAGGTCATCATGACTAGATCGTGGTCGCTCCCGATGTCAGTTCCAGGGAAGCTGCAAGTCTTGGCAATGTTTATACTAGACCGGAAGCGGGTTTGCAACATGATGTAGTCAATCTGGCTTCAGTGTTTCCCATTGGGGCTGTGCCATGTAGTTTTCCTGGACATTTTATGTTCATCCAATGTGTTGGCCAGTATGAGTTCGTTGAAGCTGGCGAATTTTAAGAGCCTCAGTCCTCTCTCATTTGAAGTTGAGTTACAGTGGCGTCCGCACGTTCCTTTCCAGTTTTTATAGGCATCTTCTCCTACTTTGGCATTCCAATCACCTTGAACAATAAGAACGTCCTTCTCGGGTGTTTGGTTTGGCACACCCTGGAGCTGATGGTAGAAGTCGTCCATCTCTTCGTCATTATAATCTCTAGTTGGTGCATACGCCTGCACGATGGTGATGTTGAATTTTGTTGGCCTTAGACAAGAGTGATGAGCCGGCTCGAAACCGGTCGACAGCTCATAATACTGTTCTTAATGTTTTGTGGACGAGGAAGCCAACTCTTCGTTCGTGTGTGTCCTCCCGTCCACTAAAATACAGTAAGTGGCCCTCCTGGATCGATATTTCTCCAAAGTTTTTTTCATCTCATTGCACACAGATCTAGGATGTCCCATCTGTATCTGGTAATTTCATGAACTAATTCCTTCACCTTGCCCGTTTCTTTCAACGATATAACGTTCCAGGTACCTTTACAGGAATCTTAAACTTTAAAATTACTTCGACCTAGCCGTTCATGACAAAGTATTGTATTTTTTTTTTGTATTAATTCTGTCTGGGTCAGGGATCTTCAAGCTTTTTAGCGTTGGTTACAAGTTTTTTTAAAAATTATATGAGTTCTAAATCCGCTAAGAAAATATTTTCGGAGCCGTACGTCATTAAAGAATAGCGCCAAAAAACACATAGAAGGACACCAAATTTATTGAGTGTGTCAATGGTGTCTATTTATCGACATTTACATATTCTATTATCGATCCATATAAACGACTGTTAAAAATTCAAATAATACAACGTTAAGTATCATGTATTATTTCCTACATTTGTTAACAATTCAATTAGCATTTCGTTGTATTTTACGGTACGCTTTGCTATCTAGTTTCTGAGTTTCTGCTACTATTTCTTGATGCGTAGCTTTATCCATTCTTCTTTTTGTGTGACCTTCAATTGTGCTTCTTAAAATTGGCTTTTCGTTTAAAGTCAAGGAAATAAGACATATCCATCTTAAGTCTGGCTGTTCTCACCTCCAGGCGTAAATCACGTAAAAGAGTTCATTGGGTACGAGCATGGCCAGGCTTCCGTCTCCCTGAGGCTCTTCAACCACGACCTGGTAGTCGTGCCCCATTCTCACGCAAGCAGGTCTCGCAACGAAGGCGACCTGGACAGGTTGATTACTCTTAACATGTGAGCAACATGTCGGGGTGTCCTAAATAGAGGAACATGGAATTAATGAACATTGAATATATGAACATTTATAACTGATCATCTTATAAGACTAATAATTGAGTGCGTAAAAAAATACATTGAAACCATCTGATTAAAAACAACTAGACACCGGATCGAATGTTTTATTTGGTATCGCGTTTCGTGCACTTTCTTTTAAACAACACATTGGCTTTGAATATGTTCAAGGCAACATACATTCCTACATAAACCCACAATCCTTTCCGACTCTTTAAAAAGTATTGCAATGGCGGCACCAGACAGAGATGGGAATTATGTAGAATAAAACAGCTCCAAATGAGGATGTTTATTTTACTGATATTATCAAATTGAAGACGGCAGAGTTGAGGCTGTGGCTGAAGTGATTAGACTGTGGCTGCAGAGATGAGGCTGTGGTTGCAGTCATGAGGCTGGGCTGAAGTGATTAGACTGTGGTTGCAGAGATGAGGCTGTGGCTAAAGTGATTAGACTGTGGCTGCAGAGATGAGGCTGTGGTTGCATAGATGAGGCTGTGGCTGATGTGATTAGACTGTGGTTGCAGAGATGAGGTTGTGGCTGAAGTGATTAGATTGTGGTTGCAGATATGAGGCTGTGGCTGAAGTGATTAGACTGTGGCTGCAGAGATGAGGCTGTGGCTGAAGTGATTAGACTGTTGTTGAAGAGATGAGGCTGTGGCTGAAGTGATTAGACTGTGGTTGCAGAGATGAGGCTATGGCTGAAGTGATTAGACTGTGGTTGCAGAGATGAGGCTGTGGCTGAAGTGATTAGACTGTGGTTGCAGAGATGAGGCTGTAACTGAAGTGATTAGACTGTGGCTGCAGAGATGAGACTGTGGCTGAAGTGATTAGACTGTGGTTGCAGATATGAGGCTGTGACTGAAGTGATTAGACTGTGGCTGCAGAGATGAGGCTGTGGCTGAAGTGATTAGACTGTTGTTGCAGAGATGAGGTTGTGGCTGAAGTGATTAGACTGTGGCTGCAGAGATGAGGCTGCGGCTGCAGATATTTATTTTTTTATTTAGGCATTTTTATATTGCGCTTACCTTAAATCTCCAAGTGCTTAACAATTATTTAAAACATGTAAACTAAGTAAAATAAAAATGAAAAACCAGAGACACTAGGATAGTAACTACTATGCTATAGAAACAATTAAAATGGCTATAAAACGAGTTCACTTTGGCACGTTTTGGCCTATACTACAGGATCAACCCCAGACAGATAATGAGGCAGGGCAAGGAGGGTGCATCACAGGTCCTAGGCGACCTAAACAGATGAGTTTTAAGGGACTTTTTGAGACTGCGGATGCAGAGATGAGACTGTGGCTGTAGAGAAGAAACTGTGGATGCAGATATGAGACTGTGGCTGCAGAGATAGAGATCAGACTGTTGCTACAGAGATGAGACTGTGGTTGCAGAGATGACACTGTGGCTTCAGAGATGAGACTGGCTGCACAGATGAGACTGTTGCTGTAGACATCAACCAAAAACTATGAAGAAGAGCGGGTAAAGCAAGCGTCGAATTATCACAGACATGGGAAAGAAAGCATTAGGGCTGACCAGTGGTGGCCCCTGGTTAATAAACAAATCGCACAAAAAAAGATGCACTTGTCGACCAACTTGCATTGGCTTGCAAAGACCATCTCAAGCAATTAACACATTCAAATAGATCTAAGAGTTGGTTTCAAATGGTTTCCAGTCGTTGCGTTTATGCAATCAGTGCGTAATATAAACTTGAGACTGTCTGTAAGCTAGGATCCTTCTTGAAACTTCATGCAAGCCAGTATCCTCAAATCTCATGCCCATAAGCCCGAATCCTCATTGCAGCTCTCTGTAAGCCAGTTTCCTCACAGTTCATCCCTGTAAGCCCGCCTCCTCAAAGTTTATGCCTGTTAGTCCTGATCCTAAATGTAACTGCCATTTGACGCTAACAAAACACTGAATACAAGGGCAAACAACTCAGCCCTATCATAAATATCATAGTGGAATAGAGCCGCAACAAAAACAAAGAAGGAGCTGCTGAAATGTTCTATTATGAATCACACATGAGTAACTAAAGTGATCACCCATCAACAGTTACTTACCAAGTAGATGATCCTCTTATCATCTATGAATATCTGTTTAACTTTATCGGCGTGCGTGACGGTCAGCTCTGTGCCACTAGCTCCTACAATATAGTATGACCCGTTGACCCATCTCTTGGGCATGTCGATCAGAATGAAAGTAAAGCCGGATGTCTTCGAGGACGGCATCATCTCTGTTGGAATCAATCACAGGCGTGAGTGAACTGAGAATGGCTTGAGTGAACTGAGAATGGCGTGAGTGAACTGAGAATGGCATGAGTTAACTGAGAATGGCATGAGTGAACTGAGAATGGCGTGAGTGAACTGAGAATGGCATGAGTGAACTAAGAATGGCATGAGTGAACTGAGAATGGCATGAGTGAACTGAGAATGGCGTGAGTGAACTGAGAATGGCTTGCGTGAACTAAGAATGGCATGAGTGAACTGTGAATGACTTGAATGAACTGAGAATGGCATGAGTGAACTAAGAATGGGTGAATGGACTGAGAATGGCATGAGTGAACTGAGAATGGCGTGAGTGAACTGAGGATGAGCAAACACATTAGGAAATAGGCAAACACGATGTGTTGTGGCTGGCAGTGAAAGACCAGGACGATATAGGACATCAGTTGGTCCCAAGATATAAATAAACATAAAATATTATAAAAAATGAAACCATCGTTTCGGCTTAACGTCTTCGTATGCGATCAAAACAAGACAAAATGAAAGGGTCAGAAAACGGGACTTAGCTTTCAAAGTCCCTGAAGTAAAGATTAAAATTCTTGTTTTAAAAACATACACAATGCAAACTGTCTAGTTCGTGCGATGCCAATGAGTATTTGTCCACTAGATGGCGTCTAACGACATCAAAGTCTTACACAAATTGAAATAAGTTCTACTTAAATCGTTGGCACCAGGGGACCTAGTAGATATCCTGTAAGGACGCTGAAGTCTTAAACAAATTAAATAAGTTCTACTTAAATCGTTGGCACCAGAGGACCTACTAGACAGCCTGTAAAGGCGCTGAAGTCTTAAACAAATTGAAATGAGTTTTTCTTAAATCGTTGTCACCGTCTGACCTGCTACGATGTCCTTGGATTTTGGATGAGCAATTTCATGCTTGTTGTTGCACACGTGTGTCGTGAGTTGTGCCTTGCAGTTGCCACTGATGACACCGATCTCCTTTGAGCCAGTGATTAAGCTGCCTGGCAGAGGTTTCGAAAAGAGATGTAAAGGATTCGATCATTTTCTATTATCCCAAATAAATCTTGTTAAGCTTAAAACTGCCTCCGCCCCAAACTATATACGCGATATTAATTTAAATAAAATAAGTATCTTTTATTTTTAAAAAACATTACTTTTTTTCAAAGACGAGTTTAAGTGCAATGAAAAGTAAAAGATAATAATTTTCTTTAACATTTCTTAAAATTCATTATGCAAAAAAAAAAATTAAAAATGTGCAAGCGAGTAGTAAGGCACTTAGTGAAGCTAAGGGATTCCAATTAAGTAAAGCTAGAAGAACCTTTAATATGTTGTTTTTTTTCAAAATTTTGAAAAATATTTTCTACACAGTCTTTCTTTGCGTAATGAATTTTAACACTTTTTAAGAAAATTATTTTCTACTCTTTAGTGACCTTAAACTGGAACAAAAAGACTTTATGAATGCCTAGGGTTCTGCTTTTTCCGTGTATTTGCCAGAGTCACCTGGTTACAGTAGTATCTCATTGATTATCTCCTTAATCAACTCTCTCTAATCCACTCTCTCTATCTCACTACTTATATACACACACTTGTGTATTCTTCTATTCATGTCATCCATTGATCATCCAGACAGAGTAATACTCATGACGCAACTCACGCACCCAACCAGCGTTCTTACTGACAACAGTGATTCTCATACCTTTGACAGTTTTATTTATTATCCGTTTGATCTCGAGTATGCGAAATAATATTGAAAAACATTGTCATAAGCGAATATAGAAAATATAACTGAAATAAAAGTAGTCCGTCAAGTTGTTGCAATAAATAAATCATGTATAAAAGTCATAACATTCAGACAATCATTTTCAAATACAGCGATTGATATTTGTTTTAAAGTTGGAAAACCTCAAACCTTACCTGAAAGGGATACGTATTGATGATTGCGACATTTTGATACAGCAAATGCTTCTCCTCTGAAAAAAAAAACAAAAGAGAAAACACAACAAATCTTTGCTCTGCACATACAACTAAATTTGGTATAGAATTGATAGAGCTGGGACATAGCAGGCTATTATTGGACTTAGAACTAAAAATAGAAATAGAATAGCTCATAAACTGGTTCAGTCTAACCATCCGGAAAATGTAAACCATTGTCTTTGACCAGAAAAATCTAACCAGACTAGCAAATCAATACATTACATTTTTTAAGTACTTTTCGCAATTTTTAATTATTTTTATTTTGTTTAAAAAATATTCCTGTGGGCCCTCTTGTTGATTTATATTCGTACTTTGGAAAATTATTAAATACTTGAAGATTCGACCCGGTGTCAATGGATGGATAATGGAAGTCAGTTTGCTATACATTATAACCTGCCGTTATGAATTATCAATATTTAACAATTAAATAAATTACGTTTTTAACGTTTCTGTATTTTAAAAAACAGCTTTACAGTATTTCACAGCTTCTGATGATATTTAGGAAATATGTATAAAGGCATACAAATTTTATCAGATTTAAATTAAATTCGATTTTCGTAAAATAATTTTAAAAAATCACTATCATTTCTTTTAACAATCCAGTGTTGCATGGTCTCATTAGCTCGCTCCTTAGATACATTTTTTGGGGCATTTTAAATAGTAAAGGCTCCCGACATCCTCCACAGTAAACATTTTTAAACTCTCAACAAGCTTCTGTTACAAAATATGCATATTTACATTTCGCTTATTTCATTCAAATAAAACACCAAACAATGTCATTCTTCATTCAAATAAAACACCAAACAATGCCATTCTTCATTCAAATTAAACACCAAACAATGCCATTCTTCATTCAAATAAAACACCAAACAATGCCATTCTTCATTCAAATAAAACACCAAACAATGCCATTCTTCATTCAAATAAAACACCAAACAATGTCATTCTTCATTCAAATAAAACACCAAACAATGTCATTCTTCATTCAAATAAAACACCAAACAATGTCATTCTTCATTCAAATAAAACACCAAACAATGCCATTCTTCATTCAAATAAAACACCAAACAATGCCATTCTTCATTCAAATAAAACACCAAACAATGCCATTCTTCATTCAAATAAAACACCAAACAATGCCATTCTTCATTCAAATAAAACACCAAACAATGCCATTCTTCATTCAAATAAAACACCAAACAATGCCATTCTTCATTCAAATAAAACACCAAACAATGCCATTCTTCATTCAAATAAAACACCAAACAATGCCATTCTTCATTCAAATAAAACACCAAACAATGCCATTCTTCATTCAAATAAAACACCAAACAATGCCATTCTTCATTCAAATAAAACACCAAACAATGCCATTCTTCATTCAAATAAAACACCAAACAATGCCATTCTTCATTCAAATAAAACACCAAACAATGCCATTCTTCATTCAAATAAAACACCAAACAATGTCATTCTTCATTCAAATAAAACACCAAACAATGTCATTCTTCATTCAAATAAAACACCAAACAATACCATTCTTCATTCAAATAAAACACCAAACAATGTCATTCTTCATTCAAATAAAACACCAAACAATGTCATTCTTCATTCAAATAAAACACCAAACAATGTCTTTCTCATTCAAATAAAACACCAAACAATGTCATTCTTCATTCAAATAAAACACCAAACAATGTCATTCTTCATTCAAATAAAACACCAAACAATGTCATTCTTCATTCAAATAAAACACCAAACAATGTCATTCTTCATTCAAATAAAACACCAAACAATGTCATTCTTCATTCAAATAAAACACCAAACAATGTCATTCTTCATTCAAATAAAACACCAAACAATGTCATTCTTCATTCAAATAAAACACCAAACAATGCCATTCTTCATTCAAATAAAACACCAAACAATGTCATTCTTCATTCAAATAAAACACCAAACAATGCCATTCTTCATTCAAATAAAACACCAAACAATGCCATTCTTCATTCAAATAAAACACCAAACAATGTCATTCTTCATTCAAATAAAACACCAAACAATGCCATTCTTCATTCAAATAAAACACCAAACAATGCCATTCTTCATTCAAATAAAACACCAAACAATGTCATTCTTCCAGCAAAGCCATGTCCTCACACTTGTAATTTGAACTGAAGAGTGTCGTTATTCCCATAACGCCGGCCTTCGTATAGGATGCTCGTACTGACTCCGAGAAATTGCAGCAGTACTCTGACGGTGTTGTCTTCTTTAGCTGAGATGATCTGAAGAGACGGAGTCACACTGCCGATACAACATATTGGCTTTTTAATAAATAAATAAATGCATCGCTTGTTGGATACTTCTTTTGTAACTGGTGAAGCCAGACAAAGAAATAAAATGTAGGTTGTCTAAGGCAACAGGCGCAATGATAAGTGAATGTTTGTGTATAATATTTTATATTATTTGTAATACAGTTTTGCCTCTACAGAGCTACTAGTTAATTTTTTTTCTTCTAGTAAAACGAAGATTGGCCAGGTCCCAGAAACAAGATTTGGCACGTTGTTTTTTTTTTATATTTTTAAGAACAAGAAGAAATAAACTTGCGCTTTTTTGAACCGAAACAGGAAAAAAATCAGAACGTTCTAGTACAACAACTGTAGAAATTACTTCACCAAATGGCATTCTTTGGAATAAATAGAGTGCATTCCAATGTGAACAAATTTTTCTCAGCCAAGAAAGAGGCGGGCAAGGAAAGGGTGCCACACCACATTTACACGGTGGCGTCAATTTTAATGCCCTACTATCGAGATAAGTGGTGGCTGAAAATAAATCTACGCTGAAGCCAAAAATAAGCCATACTCTTTACTAGCGTTTATTAAAACTACATCGTAATGCTGGGAATGTTAAACAGTATAATGATGCTATCGCAGACGCCCGCAACCTTCCTTGTGGGACAGTGACCTAAAAAACAAAACCATCCGGCAGCGGGTCGTGGCCATTTTTGCTGCTTAGAAAACATAGTATCCGAATTAAAGTCAATATACCTTAAAACTTTTTGTGAACAAGTTACAAGATATGTCGCTGGCGTATTTTAATTACACAAGCAAGATTAAATATCAGACAAATATTAAGATTTTTCAAAGCGATGGCCAATTTTTATTTTTATTTTTGGCGGGCCGAATAGATCTCATCTGGCTCCAAGGCCGTAGGTTACCTACCCATGATTTCTAGCCTTAACATTTGCGGTATGTGGGCAAAAATCGGATTTTTCAATGTTCAATTGAAGGGTATAAAAATCTGTAAAAAATTTACCAAAAGTAACTTGGCGACGTGAGGCACAACACCCCAAGGCAAACATGTGGAGTAATGCTTACCTTACAGTAAAGACTGCTTACCTTACAGTAATGGCTAAGTATTGTTTGCGCCAGGCTACTGTGGGAAGGGCTAGGAATGTATCCACGGACTTACTGCTGGCCATCAGTAGAACATATAATGCAAATATGGTATCACTCATGAGCTTGTAGCTCCACTTGGGTCCGACTTCTACTTCCGATCTGTTTGAGTAATCAAATCACACCTGAACATCAACTTTGCAGGAGCCAACTAGCGCTGGCCGAACAAAACGGTTTGGCCGTCAGTTTTATGGCATATGTCATGTCTCTATACCATTCGGCCCACAGTAAATCATTGCTTTAAGTTGATAAACGGTGCCTATCAAATAGGATTGCGTTATTTCAGGGCGTTACAATGTTTCGTGCCAAACAGCTTGGAATTTTTTAAGGATTTGGGAAGATATGCGATTTTTATTTTTTTAGATGGATTTTTTAAAAATCGTTTTTCGTGATGACTTAAGTGGTCTTGCAATTTGAATTATTTTGGTGGGGTTTTTTTTTTCACCCTATTTCGATCAAATTAATTTTTATAATCTTCTTTCGCGTAATAAAAAGCAATAATGTGCGAAGAAATATATATAAAATTTCGCATGCGTACCGGCCGCTTAAATCTCCGGATTCACGCTATTTGTGTATTAAATGGCTCCTCAAGACTTGAAGCACTTTATTACTCTAGGACTAGCAGCTCTGATTTATATTGGTCTTCATTAAAAGTATTCATTAAAATGAAATAATTACACTATCAGTGTAAAATCAATTACCAATCAACCTTATGCATTGCAAATGATTGGTCACTGGTGCATAATATTTGGACATTGTAAACTATATTCAATGAATTCGTATGCACGCATTTGATCTAATGTTATCCGATATCTTTTCATCCGAACTTGTAACGACAGGGATGCGAACCGAGACTTATAGCGTGACAATTTATCAAATCCAACATGTGGTGTCTTGATCAAATTATTGAAAGAAAAACTGACCAGCCAGGCCATACCAACTAAAGCAACACTGGCAATACCAGTTACAGCAACGAGGACTTGCCTAGTTATACGAACTACAGCAACAAAGATCTTTTGTAGCAATACCAACCACAGCCACAAGTACTTTCCAAGCAAAACCAACTACAACCACATGACCTTCCTTAGCAACACCAACTACAACAACGCGGGCAAGTCTAATACTTCTATTATCGATTGATTTATTTATTAATTGATTGATTGATTGATTGATTGATTGATCTGATATTTATATCACGCTGGTATCCATGCCATTTGTGCATGCTCATTGCGCTCTGGTCCTCCGAAATCTATTTAAAGAAAAAAAAGTTTTTAATTGTTTTTAAATGATTTTTTATCATTCACAATTCCCCTCAAAAATTGCGGCAAACTGTTTCATAATTTTGGCGCTATCGCTTCAAAAGAACGCACTCCGTAAGAATTGTTCGTGTTCATCCACACTAGGAACACTCAGTAAGTACTGTGATGAAGACCGCGGGCTCTTCAAGGGTACAGGTTTATAAATCTTTCCTTTAAATATTCCGGTGCTGAGCCATCTATGCAGCTGTACGCCAGGGACAGAATTTTGTGGTTAATGCGCTCACTCACCAGAACCCAATAGAGATCTCGTAGAACTGGGGTGATGAGGTCAGATTTTTTCATCCGTGATACAATGCAAGCTGCAGTATTTTGTATCTTTTGGAGTCTCTGAATTTGTTTCTGAGGTAAATCACACAAACAACTATTACAGTAAACTAATCTTGACTGGATTAGATTAACTGCTACAGCATTGGCTGTTCTCCTGTTGAGTTGAGGACGCAGCTGACCCAGGGCACGCAGATGACAGAAGCATGCCTTGACAACAGAACTGATATGGGGAAACATACTAAATTTACTGTCAATATAAAAGCCAAGGTCACTGACAGTCGAGGACAACAGGATCTCTTATTCACCGACCTTTATTGATGCAATTGTAACTTTCCGAAAATTGGCGTTTGAACCACAAATAATTTCCTCAGTCTTATCATCATTTAATTTTAGTCTGTTTGGTGACATTCAATCTTTCATAGAAAGACAGCAGTCCTCGACAGCCTGAACAGCAGTAGCACACTCCAAGGGATCAGGGCGAAAACACGTGTACAGTTCTGTGTCATCCCCCAAATATTTTTCGGGAAATACCATGACTTTCAATAATTTTGCCGAGCTGGCTAGTATACATGGAGAACAGAATAGGTCCTAAAACTGAGCCCTGTGGCACCCCACAGGTAACAGAAGTGTCCATGGAAGAGGCCTGCTTCACTTCATTACGCTGAGTCCTGTCAGTCAGATAAGAAGAAAACCAGCGTAGTGTAGTTCCAGTAATGCCTGCCACATTCAGAAGTCTTGACAGGAGAAGCTCATGGTCGATCACATCAAAGGCAGCACTGAGATCCAACAGAACCAATATTGTCAGATCGCAACGGTCAGCACTACAAAGAACATCATTCATAACACGGAGCAGTGCTCTCTCACAGCTGTGCCCAGGTCGATATGCAGATTCAAACTTGTCAAGTAAGTCATAAGTGTTTAGATGCTGCACAAGCTGCTGTGACACGACTCTCTCAAGAATCTTAGATACAAAGGGCAGGTTGGAGACCGGGCGAAAATTCTTGCAGTCATTTGGGTCAAGACATCTTTTTTTTTAAGCAGAGGCTTAACGACTGCTGTCTTGAAGAGACGTGGGACTGTTGCAGACTGAAGGCTAATATACACGATGTTTACCAGTACAGGAAGCAAGACTTCCAGACAGTCCAAAACAATCTTGGGTGGGATGGGGTCAACAATAGAAGATGTAGGTTTAGATGCCATGATTATAATTCTTATTTGTTCATGGGAAACTTGGGGAAAATTCCATCAGAAAGTTGCCTTCAAAGACTGTCTCCAGCGTAGACAAATCGCAACGTTCCCCAAAGTTCCTTCTGATTGTTTCAATTTTTCCAGTGAAAAAATAACTCAGTTTAACTGCAGCTAGTTGGCTTCTCATGTTAGGCAAAACAAGGGGTGCTGATTTCTTCCCAAGAAGGCCATTCACTACAGAGAACGTCTTGCGAGAATCAGTACCTGCTGCCGTTAGGAGAGTTTGAATATGATCAGACTTTGCATGCCTGATTTCTTGCGCATACCTGTTGCGTGCTTTAAGAAACGGTAGTTTATCTCCAACAACAACATATGGGGAAGATCTGGAAAAATTGTTTTCCGTTACCTTAACACATTTAAACTTAATTTAAATAAGAAATCCTTGTTTGTTTTCATATTTTCAATAAGTTGTCTTCTAAATGCTTACCTGTACTTTGAAGGTATTTGATACTCCACTGGCATCAGTCTCAGTAAGGACACGGCCTCGTTAAGCTTCGGTTCACCTTTAAATCCAGGACATGTAATCATAACCTACGGAAATGTCCCAAAAAATCTATAACTTTAAAATTTCATTCCGTCTTTAAATTGATGTAACATCGCTTATACAAAAATAACAGCATGGAATTAATGTTATCTGACTATTTGACTCGATACAAACACATAAAAATTACACTTCAAATTGACCCATTTGTGTTCAACAAATGTAAATGCATCGTTTAAATCAAATAAAATATATAGTAACATTTATTAAACGTTACTTTAAATTACCGTAACAGGCTTGCGTGCGGAAGTCGTCATAACAAAGGTAATTCCAGAATTGTGTGTATTTTCGTCGTCCATCAACATGGGCACAGCCACCAAAAACTCTGTTCCCATGGAGGTGGAAATGGAGGTAACTGAAGAAAAAAAAACCTGCCTATTTCTAGAAGTATGTTTTCTGCGACATTTCTCAGCTTTATATCTCCAGTATAAAAAACTAGTGCTGTACAATATAGTCAAAATAAATTGGGTAACAGTGCCGTCTCATCCTGTACAAAAGGAACAGGACTTGACCAACGGAGCAGTACTTGACCAACGGAGCAGTACTTGACCAACGGAGCAGTACTTGACCAACGGAGCAGTACTTGACCAAAGGAGCAGTAATTGAATAACGGAGCAGTTCTTGACCAACGAAGCAGTACCTGACCAACGGAGCAGTACCTGACCAACGGGTTAGTGCTTGATCCACGGAGCAGTACTTGAACAACGGAGCAGTACTTGACCAACGGTGCAGTACTTGACAAACGGAGCAGTACTTGACCAACAGAGCAGTACTTTCTGATAGAAAGTGTCTAAAATGAATCAGCTCAGATATTAAAACTATATTTTTTTGTTGGATTGCAGATTTTTACTAGAATATGGTGCGATAATCTGGGACACATACCTTAAAGCAAGACGTGGACAAGATCGAGCGAATACAACGAAACGCGGTGTTCTTCATCGCAAGTGACGACAACTCCACCTCTCCTGGCTTCCTAACTGACCTCTTAAAGACCTCCCCTCCCTCAAAGACAGACGATAAAAGCTCAGTCTAACATTCCTATATAAATAGGTCATGGGGCTAGTGCCGGCTATCCCATCTAACACGTATCTCACCCCACAGAGGCCAGGTCGCTTAATCAGAGCCAAACGCTCAATAAACACTGACTTCACCTCTGACAACTCCATGAGCAGTTACATTCGGAATAATGATAAATGCTTCACTGTGCCTCGTTGTAACACAGTTCAATATAAACAATCATTCTTCCCACGAACAATAATTGCTTGTAACCATCTGGACAATGCCGCCGTGGACTAGACATCAATCGAGAGTTTCAAGGCTGTCCTGGCATCCGCTGGGAGCTGTTAGGATAGCCGCATCGTTTCCTAAACCGTTGCACAAATGCCACTACACGGAGGCAGCAACGTACCCTATCAGAATCAGATTAATTATTTAAAACATAATATTTTGCTCCTACCTACACACTTGATCGGAGAAAAGATGAACAAAAGATTTAAAAAGTACATTTTTCTGGAGAGGGCGTCGCTATGCGTTGAAAGTACTAGCCATTGCTCTTTTACTCCCCATCATACCGCACTACAAAAAGTAAAGTACTAATGTAGATATTGTACGTCCCCTAAGTGCTAGAGCGACATCTCCTCATGGCAACTGAATAACTTCCTGTTCATGTTGAATCGCTCTTCAATGTTCCCCATGAGAATTTGATGCGCATATTATTCAGTTTATGTATCACTGAAAGGAGATCCAGGATTTAATTGTGATCAAAGAGTGATAGAATTATTCAAAATTTCTTTTCGACACATAGGAAGCCCAAGTGTATTCAGTGTTGAAATACAAGCGGATCAATATATTGAATTGAATCATCATCATCATGTCTCTTAGTCCTTGGGCCAGTGAGGCGCCAAAGATAACATGAAAACTATCCTTCTCTATTCATCTCTTTTTTCTGCACTTCCCACAGCTTCGCCTATGTTTTAGTCCCGTCCACTCTTTGATCTCATCTTCCTTTTTTTCTTCTCTGTCTTCTTCTTCTCTCTTCTCACGTTGTGCTCTGAATGATTTCTTTGGCGAGCCCTTGTTTTTGTTGTTGTTTTTTTTCACGCGGCCATACCATTCCAGTTTGAGCTTTGTTACACTCACCAAGAGGACATCAAACTGCCCAATAGCTTGACGAATCCTTTCTTTCACTTGTTTGTTAGAGATATGGTCTCTATAGCAGATTCCAGGAATGCTTCTGAAACATCTCATCACCATCGCCTTTAATGTTCTTTCAATTTCTGTTGTTAATGTCCAGGACTCACACCCACACAAGAAAATGGAGAGGACTATTGGGCGCATCGGCCTGATTTTGTTGCTGGGGGCTATATTTTTGTCATTCCATATTTTCTTAAGCCTCTTGGAGCTTTCTTACGAGACTATTGCTCCTAGATACTTGAAGTCGCGTACTGTCTCTAATCGTTCCTCCCCGACCTTATTTGCAGTGGTGATATCGGTGATGTTATTCGTCATCAATTTGGTCTTTTCTGCACTAATTTGCATGACAAAGGACGATGAAGTCTTGTCGAGGCTTTTACTAGGTTGTCTAGCTCTTCTTCGTTTCCAGCCAGTCCATCTATGTCATCCACAAAGCGTAGGTTGGTGATTGTTTTGCCACCAATGCTAACTGTCCCTACATGCGCTTCCAGTGTATCTGACAATTCTCTCTAAGAATGGAATACGTTTATGTAAGAGATACTGAAGTGCTATTCGACAAAAGCAATGTAAAATTCAAGATGATTATGATGATTCAGTACTTTTATAGCGCTTGTGTCAATTCTAATTTAGCATCGCCACAGCTTTCTTTTGTCCTAAAAATATTTAAGAAAAAAGTCTTTAAATGTTTCTTAAATTATTCTTTTATCCTTTTCAATTTCGCTCAAAGTGTGAAGCAAACTGTTCAATAATTTAGAAGCAATAGCTTTAAAAAAAAAGGACAGGTTCCGTAAGGATATATGTTTTCAAATCATCGAGAAAGTCAAGCGATTTTTCATTGTTTTAATAGGCCCGAAGACATTGTTACCAACGTTTCAATATCTTAGAATGTTACAATATTTTACCAAATTCGTAAACTTTTTACTTTAATTTATCAAGATCTGACGAATTCGTAATTTTTTATCATCTTTTTAAATATGTTTTTAAAAATCCAATTTAGAGTATTTACTGCAAAACAAGGGGGGTAATTCAGTGGAGTATGAAGGTGGTACCGTTTGGGACGATCCAACCCATCACTTTTTCTTATCTTTTTTATGAATTGACGGCATTTTCAGTGTTTGTCCTTGGAAAGGTGAGGGTGGGGGCGGATCTTACCCTAGTGACGCCACGGGGGTAGTTAAATGTTTATAAATATTTAAACTTTTTTTAAATGAAGGTTTTACCCCACAAAAAAAAACCTCACTAATAATTCATAACAGAAACCTCTAGCAGGTGTCTCACAGATTGCGGCCATCCGTAAATTATACCTCTCCTCAACGCCTCTCTGGTGAAAGACAACAGTGGGAAAAGAAGAAGGACTCCCCCAGACCCATTTTTCTCCCTAAAGCAAACACTCCTTTCAATTAATGCACATCTTTTGCAATTACTTCAAGTTTTATACAGTAAGTCTCTTTCAGTGTGCACCAGAAAACACCGAACAAACAATGACAAGACAGAACTTGAAAACAAGATGAAAACACAATCGAAATGTGCTTGATCTCTCTGATGTGTGTGGATCACTAGTGAATCACTGTGTTTATGCTATACGTTATGTTCCTATCTTAAGATGGGCAAAGCTGAACTATCAAGAAAAGTTAAAGGGAACACTAAATATGTGCGAGTTACTTGATCGGTGGTCTTAGTTCTGAGAATAAACGATTATGTTTTCATATCTGCTTGGGAATAGCCTGGGGAATACATTGTGCAACACTGGCTGAAGGAGATAGTAGGACAAGGTTTGTTGATTTGGAATCGAAAGACAGGATAATAAGATATGAATATTTAGGCTAAGAGTTGGTACTGTCTACTGAGGAAGGCTCTTAGTCGAAACGTTCATATCTTATTGTCCTGTCTTTCGATCAAGCTTCCACGTACATTGTTCTACTATTTCTTTCACACAGCTTGAATCTTGAACGCATTCCTTCATTTATTAACACTGGCTGCACAATTTTTAACAATATTTTTCATTTTTGCACTTTGTTTTTCGTTGTTTGTCTTTTTCGTGTTTTTTTTTTTTTTTCGACACTTAAAATTAAGCAAAACCGTTTATATTTCTGCAAGTCTTATTTTCTTGATGGCCCAGGCGTTTTTTTAACAATTTTTTTTTTTTTTGTTTTTTTTTTTTTTTTTTTTTTCTTTTTCGTTTTTTTTTTTTTTTTTCGACACTTAAAATTAAGCAAAACCGTTTATATTTCTGCAAGTCTTATTTTCTAGATGGCCCAGGCGTCTCTATCCCCCTTTCCCCCTGAGTAGGCGCTCCTGGGTCAGGCGAACAACATTTGAAAGATTAATAAGGAAAAATTGTAATTAATTATATGTTTATGTTTACTTCAGTTATTGGTTTAGGTTAGGGCTGTCCGAAGCCTTTGTAACGCTATCTCTGACAATTTGTACCCCATCCCTTCCTATTATTTCTAATGACTCAAAACTCGGAACACCCCCTCCTTCTCAATTACCTTACACTTAAAATAAAAATGTAAATGTCAACGATTCATTAAAATAATTCAATCTCAAAAAACACTTCACTATTAAAATCGGACACTACCACGTGGCATCTTCTGTTCAAACACACCCATCGCAACATAAAGTTAAACATCACTGTCAATGACAGGTTACTGTCAATGTGTGACATCACAAATCATTAACCCCACGTCACACCGTGTCACGAACTGTCACACTTTCTTAAGCTGCCCCCACCTCTCCCCACCCCGAGAGTGACGTACTTTATGGAGTACCCCTAAATGGATATCAAATTTGCAACGTCTACACAATATTGTTTTAGTTGCCTACTTTCCACCGAAATCGTGTTGACAACATTCAAATGCGTTTAAAATTTTCCTTTATTCATATTTCAGAGGAGTTACAAATGTGGCTGACGACAGACGATTTACAGGTGTACAATGGCCGCATTGGATTTCCTCGCAGTTCTTCTCCTTTTGTCTTATCCGCTGAGAGTTTCTTGTAAGTAGTTAACTGACGTCACATGCTTTCTATCCAATTGTTTAAATTGTCGATTTAAATCATTCAGAAGATGTCAGTAGATGTCAGAAGACAAACAAACAACTCGAACACAGTATGTCGTCAATTATCCGAACGAACAGGTAACGTTGGTGGTTCGGATAACCTTTTATTTTCGGATAACCGAGCACTCCAAAGGGTGCCTTTAAAGAGCATAATCAGCAATATATTCTTACCTTCTGCACGTACTGTATTTTATAGCACTGTTTATTATGTACATCAATCCTCAAAGGAGCATCGGGATCAGCTGACTGATGTTCAAAATCAGCGAGGATAAGAATTATTACATTGCGATAAGTTGTCTTTAACAAAAGAAAAAACCACCAGCCAACTGCCGCTTCGGGTTAAACCCGAGGTAAATGTGTCTTGGAACAAGTCTGACAAGTGTGTGTATTGAGATTGTACTTGGATGCGGTGACAGGCCGCGGGAATGTTTTCAGGTTTCGATTCAGCAAGGCTCCATGACTTTCGTATTACGAGAGCTCGGATTAGAGATGTTCGGAAAAAACATTGTCCATTGGTGATCAGCTCGCCCATACAACGTTTCGAGGCTTACCCTTTTTTTAACCAACGCGTTTAACCTATGGAAGGCGTCATCAAATTTTTAACGACTCTACGCTCATTCTTGGACTTTAAGGAAAAAGTTTGTGTCCATGAGCCTGGCACAGGCAGTATTCATAATTGTATCATAATGATTTATATCTATAATAAACAATTTAATAAAATACAATACTTAAAGCAAGACGTGGACAAGATGGAGCAAATCCAACGTAACGAAGTGCGCTTCATCGCACGTGACCACAAATCCACCTCTCCTAGGCTACAGTCAAAGAGATTAGATAACGCGTCTCATAAGCTACAGTCAAAGAGATTAGACAAAGCGTCTCATAAGCTACAGTCAAAGAGATTAGACACCGCGTCTCATAAGCTACAGTCAAAGAGATTAGACAACGCGTCTCATAAGCTACAGTCAAAGAGATTAGACAACGCGTCTCCTAGGCTACAGTCAAAGAGATTAGACAACGCGTCTCCTAGGCTACAGTCAAAGAGATTAGACAACGCGTCTCATAAGCTACAGTCAAAGAGATTAGACAACGCGTCTCATAAGCTACAGTCAAAGAGATTAGACAAAGCGTCTCATAAGCTACAGTCAAAGAGATTAGACAACGCATCTCCTAGGCTACAGTCAAAGAGATTAGACAACGCGTCTCATAAGCTACACTCAAAGAGATTAGACAAAGCGTCTCCTAGATTACAATCAAAGAGATTAGACAAAGCGTCTCCTAATTTACAGTCAAAGAGATTA